ATTACTATATTACATTAATAACAATATTATATTATTGTATTATATATTATGTTAGTATATATTTTTTATAATTTATGTGAAATTGTCACTAAACACAACTCACAAAGTTTACTTGTTTCTTTGGGATGTGATTCCACTGCAAGTCAAGTCAACAAACATTTATTAAGTGCATATCATGTACCAGGCACTTTGCTAAATGCTGGATATTGAACAGAAAAAATAGTATGATTGCGTATTACCAGAACGATTAATTTAAAATTTTAATTGCTACATTTTAGTTATATTGATTGGCAAAAGTAATCAAAATAAGTATTTACTAATTGTAATATTATCATACATTACATTTACTCTATGAGGTTATTGCATAGTATATTTTCTTAAGTGATTAAGTACAGATTACCTTTTCAGCTGAAAGATTGATGAATTTTTCTCATGTTTCTGCACATTCTAACCTGCAGAATTCAGTAATGAGCAGTAACAAGTCTTTACAACATTTATGTAAATATCCAGAAGCTTGCAATAAAGGAAGCAGTGGATTAGCTCTGGTGAAGGAACAAAGGGGGCAAGTGTGTAATCTTTTTGCCTGCAGAGCAGTTTAATTACTTTTTCCCTTTTTTTTTTGATTAAAGCATCTTTGTTGATATATTAAATGTTGTATTTTATTCCTTTTAGATCTATATTTTATTCATTGCCCTGGAGTGCATATTACTGGTAAAGGTAGCCACAAAGCTGAAGCACAAACCTAGAGGGCTTTTGGAATTGCTATATGAGAAAGGTCAGGTGTGCCTTAATGGTTAAAATCTAACATCGTTCATTTGGACATGCTGTATCTAGAAAGTTTGGGAAGTATATTTAATTACAAGAAAGCAAAGATTATTTCCAGGTCATTGTTGTTATGGATCATTTTCTTTTATTTCTGTATTCTATTCCTGACAAGAAAATATTTCTTGAATTTTTAGTTGGTTTTATTAATGAGGAATTTATCATCTGATTTTTTTCTAGCTCGGTCTCTGAGTTTCATATAGTAGTGTATTAGTATCCATGTATGTTTAATATGAGTAGTACATTCTTGCTTCCACCTAACAAGATTAATTATGTTCATTTGTTTAATCATGGCATGTTGATAGGTAGATAGATGATAGATCAATTGATAGATCATTTACTAAGTATTTACTATAATGTCAGACACTGTGCTGAGTATTGATGTTAGAAAAACAAGAGAATCTCTGCTCTCAAGAAGCTTCTGTTCTAATAAGAGAAGACAGCACAAAAGAGGAAGGAGACCACCAGTGGTAGGTAGAATAGACCACAGAGTCAACTGGAAAGGAAGTGAGCAGCAGGTCTGGGGATCCTAATGATGTAGCAATCCGAAACAGATATTCACCAGTCACTGAGCAAGCCTCAGGACAATCATCCTTAGGTAGGCAAGGAAGTGGTGGGGAGGCAGAACAGATCAGAGAGTAAGCTGGAAGTAGAAATAATTTGAAGTTTATAAATACACCCAACCCCCCGTAAAAAGACAGTTAACAAAAATGTACATAAAGTGCCATTAAGATTGACTGTCTCATAATATAAAGGGCAGTGCAAATTGAGAGCCTTTAATAGCCCCTCTTCAATCTTCATCTTTCTTGAACCCTCCGTAGCATTTAATACTTTCAACTAACATCTCCTGTATTCTCCTCTCCAGATTTTGATGACCTTGTTCTCTCTTGGTTCTCTTTCTACCTGTCTGACTATGGCTTCTTAGTATCTTTTGCTAGTTCACTTTCCGTATCTCAACCGTCAACTTGACCTATGCTCCAGGTTCTGTAATGGGACCTCTTTTCTTCTCTCTACATTCACTCCCTTAGTGACCTTATCAGCTCCCATTGGTTTAATTTTCGTCTCTGCACCAACGATTCCCATTTCTCTATATCCAGCCGTGATATCTTGCCTGAGCTCCAGCTTCAAGTCAGGAAGGAAAGAAGGAAGAAAGAAAAAAAGGAAAGAAGGAAGAAAGGAAGTAAAAAAAAGGAAGAAAGGAAAGAAAGAAGGAAAAAAGAAGGAAAGAAAAAAATAAAGAAAAGAAGGAAGGAAAGAAGGAAGAAAGGAAGGAGGAAAAAAAGGAAGGAGAGAAACATGCATTTATAAAGTGCCACAATGTGCCAGGCACATGATCAGTGCTTTACAAATATTATCTCATTTGATCCTCACAACAACCCTGAGAGGTCGGTGCTATTATTATACCCATTTTACAGATGAGGAAATGGAGGCAAAAAGAGGTTAGATGGCTTGCCCAGGGACACACTGTCATTAAGTATCTGAGGCTGGATTTTAATTGAAATCTTCTTGATTCTAGGCCCACAGCTATATCTAATACCCTTCTTAGTATTTCCCACTTAATGGCTCCTAGACATCTTGAATTTAACATGTCCAAATCAGAATATTCTCTTTTCCCACGAGGTCTTTCCACCTAATAACTCCCTTATTTTTGTCAAGATCCCCACCCACTCTCAACCCTGCTATCTTCCTCAACTCTTCACTCTCTCCCATGCCACATGCATGACCAGCTGGCATGTCTTGTTGGTTCTTCCTCCATGTCGTTTCTCATATCTGATCCCTTCTCTTTATCCACGCAGCCGCTACCCTGGTTTGGACCCTCATTGTCTCTCACCTGGGCTATTGTAATCACCTCCTGTTTGGTCTCTCGGCCTCAAATCTCTTGTTATCGAATCGATCTTCTATAAGGTCCCAGGGTGGTTTTCCTAAAGTACACTTGTGACCATGTCATTCCTGAGCAGTAAGTTCTAGAGATTCCATACTACTTCTAGAATCAAATATAAACTCCCTTATTTGGCATTTAAAACCCTCCATAACCTAGTCCAATCTTGCCTTTTCAAACTTATCATACTTTACTCCCCCTTACATAGTTTAAACAAAACATTCTCTGTGTTCCTTACACCCTGCCCTCCACCTCCCGTCTCTGTGCCTTTGCGCAGGTTGACATCCAACTCTAGAATGGATTTCCTCCTTACTCTGGCCTCTCAGAACATCTGGCTTCATTCAAATAGCCCAAATGCCCCCTGAAGCCAGCTGCTAGTACCTTCTTCCACTTAATTACCTTGTATGTGTTTATTTTGTGTATATCTTGTATATACACTGAACTTGAACTGTTCTCATGTGGATCAATGTATAGAAGTTACAGGAAGGCAAATTTTGGGTCAATGTAAGAAAAAAATAACATTCAAAAATAAAATAGGCTACCTAATAGATGGTAAGTTGCTTACCCCTGGAATTCTTCAAGCAGTTACTAAATTTGATTTGATGGAGATGTTATGGATGAGATTCAGAATTTACACAGAAATTGAACCACATGACTTCAGAGACCCTTTCCAACTCTAACTTTATGATTTCAAGTATTGCCTTCTAAATAAAGTACAAATTGAATTGCTTGCCATTCAAAGCCTGCTGTAATCTAGCCTGCATCTACTTTTATGGCTCTGTAGAAGAGCTATTCTCTCTAAAACTATGCACTTCCACTAAATCATATTGCTCACCATCCCACAAACATGTTCCATGATTTCCCATCTCCTTATCCACCCAGTTTCCTCTTGTTAAAATTCTATCCATTCTTTAAGGCCCAGAAAAATGTCACCTTATCCTTCATCCCTCTAGTTTGGCAAGCTTGCAACACTCTGATAACCAAATGGTTAATAAATCCATTTAGCATGTCACCATAATCAATCAATAAATTTGTTAAGTACTTGCTATGTGCCAGGCTCTGAGATAAGTACTGAGGATCCAAAGAAAGGCAGAAACACAACACAATCACTTCCTGTCTTCAAGTCAAGTCAACAATATGCCTTCTTTGTGTCAAACACTGTGCTAAATGCTGGGGATGTCAAAAAGGCAAAAACCAGTCCTTGCTTTCAACGAGCTCACAGTCAAATGTGGAAGAAAACATGCAAACAACTACATATAAACAAGCTATAGAAAGGATAAATTGGGGATAATTAACAGAGAGAAGACACTAGCATGACAGGGTGTCAGGAGAGTCTTGTGGGATTTTAGCTAAGACTAGAAAGAAGCCAGGGAAGCTAAGATGCAAGGGTGAGAAGGGAGAAGATTCCAGGCATGAGGGACAGACAGCCAATGAAAGGGAACAGACGTGGAAGATAGTATCTTGTTGGAGGAGCATCAAGGAGGCCAATGTCACTGGATCATAGAGTACGTTTTAAAAGTAGTATTTTATTTTTTCCAATTACATGTAAAGACAGTTTTCAATATTCATTTTTATAAGATTTTGAATTCCAAATATTTCTCTCTCTCTCTCTCCTCCCCAAGACAGTAAGCAATCTGAAATAGGTTATGCATCTGCAATCATGTAAAGCATATTTCTACATTAGTCATGTTATGAAAGAAACAGAACAAAAGGGGAAAAAACATGAAATAAAACCAAAGAAAGTGAAAATAGTATGCTTGATCTTCATTCAGACTCCATCAGTTCTTTTTCTGGATGTGGATAGCATTTTCTATCATGAGTCTTTTGGAATTGTCTTGGATTATTGTATTGCTAAGAGAGCTAAGTCAGTCATAGTTGATTATCACATAATGTTGCTATTACTGTGTACAATGTTCTTCTGGTTCTGCTCACTTCACTCAGCATCAGTTTATGTAAACCTTTCCAGGTTTTTCTGAAACCCACCTGCTCATCATTTCTTATAGCACAATAGTATTCCATTACATTCATATACCACAGCTTGTTCAACCATTCCCCCATTGATGGGCATCCCCTCAATTTCCAGTTCTTTGCCACCAAAAAAAGAAGGTATTATAGGACCAGGTCTGGAAAGTTACGACCCATTTCAACTCCTCTCAAAGTTTACCTTCATTTTATCATATTTGTAATTTTTTTCTAGTATATATATATATACACACACACATATCTTTAAATATTTTTGTACATGTGGGTCCTTTTCCCTTTTGTATGATCTCTTTGGGATACAGACCTAGAAGTGGTATTGATGGGTCCTTCCTTCCTTCATTCCTTCATCCCTTTGTTCCTTCCTCCCTCTCTCCCTCTGCAATTCTTATAACATCTGTTATCATGAGTATATGTACTAATCTTAATTGGTCACCCATTTTCCGTTGTTGTATAGGGCCAAGTCTGGAAAGTTACAAGCCATTTCAACTCCTCTCAAAGTTTTCCTTCATTTTTTTCTAGTATCTCATATATTATTATTCCTAAAACTGGTGAATACCCAAGTCATTTGTGATATATTGTTTCTGTTTTACTATTTAAACTAGATGTCTAGAGCCATGCCCAAGAGGAGCTAAATCATTCAGTTTCAGTTCTCTCTAGGACCATATTTCTTTCTCCCAGCCATCTTCCATCCTACTGCCACTTTCATATCTACTCAATATTCATTATTATTCTGCAATCAAACAAATACCATAAAGAACATATTAATTAATTGACCTATTGTTCCACTCTTCCTTCTCTTGTCACCACTCCCCTTTGTGTTTTCTCCCCTATTTAGAAAGTAACCTTCTTGAGGTCAGGGACGATCACTTTTTCATTTGCATTAGCACTTAAGCTTTATTTTCATTGGTTGAAAGCTTTTCTTCCTTATAGAAGGAATATTAGATAATAGTAAGACCTGGCTGCCCCATCAAGCAGTAAGTTCCTGGTCCCTGGACGGGTTTGAGCAAAGGCTCATTGTCTTCTTCTGAGTTTATGTCTGGATCTTCTCTGTCACCATAGTAGCTTTTTATAGTCAGATTCTTGTTGTTGTTGTTTGCTCATTTTCCCAGCCTATTTCTTGACTTTGAACTTTATGCTAAAGCTGGAATCTCTTCTCCATGTTGGGTGGAGAGGGTCACTGTCTCTTGGAATTGCTATCCCTACTGTTCCTCATGGCTCCTGCTCCCTCTTGACCAAAATTGTTCCTCTTTGCCCTTGAACTATGACCTGGGAGTGGGTACAGGCAATGGAATCACCAAACAGCATCCAGTCCTATGTCCAGTGGTAGCACAAGGGTTCCCTGTAATTTGCTTCTGACCAGGTTCCAGGTCCATTTACCATCTCTGGCTTGAGAGCTCTTAAAGCCACTGTTTTTTCAGTCACCACCAAGTCCCATCACCAGTATTACATGTGGGGTACAGCTCTTTCCTTCCAACCTCCTAAGTTGTCTTGGGCTGGAAGAATGTCTCACCCCAATCTTTTTGTTGTCTCTACCACTCCAGAATTTGATTTGAGGCATCATTTTAAAGTTGTTTGGAGGGCGATGTTGGGAGAGCTCTGCTGAATGTTTCCTCTATTCTACCGTCTTGACTGCACCACCCTATTAATTTCTACTCTGGGAACTATTTTCAATGAGAAAATTGGATAACAAAACAAATGACTTAACAATACCTATATAAAACATCTTATCCTACCTAATAATTACTTCAATAATTATTCTTATTTGTTGATCACTAGGGTTAGTGTTTGTTTTCTTTGGATTACTTTAGAGAAAACTTTTCTTCTGGGAAAGAAAATACCTTTTAAGATAAAGGATGTTTCTAGTTGAACTTGAGTAGTATTGCTGATTCTTACCTATGATCCTCCATTTATCTTAAGGAACGTAATGAATGAATTTTATTATGAAGAGTTGGATAAAATCGTGCCAGATTATTACTTTTTCTTTGTTCTAAGATGTCTGTGACATCTGGATCGAAAAGAATCTTGTTCCTGGCATCAAAGTGTCTGGGTTCAAGAACTCTCTGGCCTATCATTTGCTATCATGTGACCTTAAGAAGACATCACCTCTTTAGGTCTCAATTTCATTATGTAGAAAATGTTAGGGATTGGATTAATTAATCTCCAAATTCCCTTCCATCTTTAAATCTCTAATCCTATATTTTGAAGTTCATTATGGTCCTCAAAGCTTTCCTCTTGCACGGTTAAGTTCTAAAACTGTGTTAAGGCACTATTAAGCTTTCTTTTGATTTTTTGAACTAATATATAGAGTTAAATCATGAAGATTTAAACCAGTGAACCCTAGTAAATCAAAAGGATAAATAAGATTGATCACCAGGAAGATTAAAACTAGTGACCCTTGATAAATTTGATAAATAATTTACTTGTATGATTAACTGCATAACTTTTTGGTTTAAGACTAAAATGAATTTTAAGAAGAGATTTTCCTTGACTTAGTGCATCATTTTGGATGGTGGAGCATTTAGTTAATATGTAACTTGCTTCCAGTCGTATGGTCAACTATATAATCTGCAATACCCACTTTCAATTTAATAAAATTTTAAATATTATTTTACATGCCATCATGGAAATTGTTACCACTCTTGTGAAGGATGGCTTGTTCTGAGTCCAAATAGAAGAAGAGTTACTTGTAGGTGGTGAAATCCTGATCAACATGTTGCCGATTATGTCATGCTCTAGAATAATATACCCTGGAAAGGTTGTAAAGAAGGTTCAATGAGTTTGGCCCAGAATTGAATAGGAGGAAAAGAGTAGGCTAGATTGAGTTTGGAAAATTTTTTCAGTCTTTGCCATGATTCTATGGCATTCCTTGACACAAAAATCTGTCTTCTTGATACTGTCAATATTCTTTCAGTGATGTTTTATGGCTGTGAATCATGGACTATAATTTCTAATGAATCACCATTTCATCTGACCTAAAGAACTATGGGAAGATACATTATGGAACCTAAGAACATAAAATCATTGAGGAAAACCTCTACTTTATAGGATCCACTATTTGGTATTGGTTCAGCAGAAATTATGTTTAGCCCAGCATCTTATATCATATATCACCATAAGTTCAAAACTGGATATGTGATATGAATATAAAAGGTCAAAATATTAAAAAAAAATTAGAAGAGAACGAGACCAAAGACCTTTCCCAGCTGTAGGTAGGAGAAGAATTCTTAACCAAATGAGAGATAGAGGCAATCACAAAATAGAAAATAGATCATTTAAATTACAGGAAATTAAAAAACCTTTTGCAGAAACAAAATCAATACAATAAGGATAAGAAGTTATATTATCAAAGGGGGAAAATCTTTACATTAAATATTTCTGATAAGTGTCTGGTAACTGAAATATGTAGGGAAAAACACAAAATATGTTGGACCAGAATTTGTTTCCTGATGAATAAGTAGTCAAAGCATATGAAAAAACAATCCTCAAAAATTGAATTTGTAAAGTATTAACAACCACATAAAAAGTTTATTCCAAATAACTAATAAGAGAAATGTAATTCAAAACAACTCTGAGGTTCACTTCATTTCCAGAAAATTGATAAAAGATCACAAGAAATGGGAATAGGTGATGCTGGTGGCATTTTGAAAAGACAGGAACATTGTTGGTAGAACTGCCAATTGGTACAACTGTTCTGAATAGTTTATGCTAAAAAAAAGTAACTAAAATTACCCTACCCTTTGACTTTGTGGTCACTTAGGAGACCCTCTGGTTCCTCCTCCCCAGAGATCCCATTGCTAGTCATCTATCCTAGGAAAGTAAAAATTAGAAAGATCGCATACACACCAAAATATTAAAATCAGCACTTTTCTGTTAGCAAACCTAAAACCAAAGTAGATGACTACTGATTGGAAGATAGATCAATGAATGGTTGCAAATTGATATAATGAAATATTATTGCACTATAAGAAACAGTGAATAGTAAGAATTCAGAGAAGCATGGAAAAAGTTTTATGGATTTGTGCAAAATGTGGTAAGCATAACCAAATGACTACCACAATCTAAATGAAAAAATTATGAAATAAAAATACTGAAAATGAATAAAGACTAAGTTTGGCCCCTAAAAGAAAATGCTCTTCCATGCCTTCATTGAAAAGTTGGGGTAGGGGAGGACCATGGGCATGGAATATTGCATATGATGAACATGACTGATGTATTAGTTTTGCTGAACTCTTTTTTTTTCTTTTTAAATATTTGTTACAAAAAATGATTTGCTGGGTAGGTGAGGAGAAAAGGTTATATTACAAAGATAAACATGACCTAAAATATCAATAAAAATAAGATACATATTTAAAGACAGTTGATGGACACAAACAAGTTATAGGGTATCACCAATAAGTTATTTGAATGTAGAAAGTGGCATAAAAGATATCATCCAAGAAATGTATAGTCAGAAAAAATGTGAGGCATTCTTAAAGCAAGAGTAAGGGCTGATAGCCAAACGGTTACACTGATATATGCTATAAATAATTTGGGAAGGGGAAATGAACAAGAATTGAACAAAATGAGAAATCATTAATGGGTTCTTGTCTGAAATGTTGGAAATAATACCCACTTTGGTGAGATAAGTCTTATTAACTATTGTAATAAGTGTTTGCAGTAAAACATACATCTGTACTAGATTGCTATGTTTGTAATTTTTGCTTTCTTTACTATCACATTTTGATTTCATTGTTGGACCACAGAGATTTTGTTGTAGCTGTCCTTTGTGCAAAAAGATACTACTATCCTTACCATTTCCATATGACAGGAATTTCCTTTTTCCCGAAGTCAACCAATTTACTTTTGCCATTGTCTCACTTTCACAGATTCACAGGAGCTACATCTTCCCCTTAAGGTTCTAGGGGTACCCTTAGAGGGTCAGTGAAGGCATCTCTTCTCTGATAGAATCCACTGGTGTCTGGATTCTGATGTTCTTCCCTTCCTTCTCTTGTCTCCACTGTTAAACAGCCAATGATTAGCACTCTGGTTCCATTTAACCAATTAACATCAATTAGCTTTTACAAAAGAATACTTACTATGGATATATAGCAAGAACAGAAGTACAAACATTTTCCCCCAACACATGGGGACAAGTACTCCCCTATACCACCTCAGTCCACTGGGAGAGTAGGCTCAGATTTAACACAGTTTCTACATAGCACTCACCCCATCAAATTCACTTCCAAATGGGGCATGGCTGGCCAATGGATTGTTAAATCTACATCTCTGCTGCTGCTGTGCTAGGTCAAACAGAACACACAAGACTTTACTCCTCACTACCTGATTTCCAGCAAATTCCACTTGCACTCCAGCTCCTTGACTTCTGATGTCTTGGTCTTCTAAATTTTTGAAACTCACAAATTCATTGACATCTCCAGTCTCCATCTGAAAGCAGAAAAGAGTAAATAAAACAGAGACAGAAACAATGGTAAGGCCAAGTACTCTTGACTCCATGCTAGGTGTGGGTGTGAGAGAGCCCCTCTGAGGCCTTTCCTCCAACTTTCCTCCAGTGAGGCCCACCATAACTCATTCTCCTTGTCCCAATGCCAGCTGTACTGGGAAAGAAAACACCTTGACTGGTTCATGCCTTTTGAATGCATTCTCAGTTTCAACTCAGCAACCAATCAAAACACTCCTCTTCTTCACATAGTAATGAGATCAGAAACAGTCAAAATACCTCCCTAGGTACTCTGAATTGGGCAGCAGAGCTTTTATGTTACCCACAACCATGCCTTTCCTGAAATAGTTTCTCCTGGCCTCTCCCCTAAGGGGAATACATTATCCAGGCATACTGTGCATGCTCACCAACCTCCTATTATATTCAAATGCCAAGTCTGAATCACCTCGTATCAGTCAGAAAATGACTTTTTTTTAAACAGAAATTGTAAACTAAAGTTTATGACCTTGGGAAGTTTTATAAACATTGCTTCCTTAACTATATCTAGGCTATCACACTTACCTTTTTACTTCACAGAAATTGTATAATAGATATGAGCTAAGATACATAGTCATTTTGAGCTCTGTGGAATCATGGAATCTTTGAATTGAAAAGGAGCTTAGAAAGATTCCTGTTCAACCTGCCTCGATGTAGAAATCCCCAGAAACAGCACCCCAGAAACACAGAATATTAGAAAAGGAAGAGACTATATTTGTCCTCTGACTTCCCATCCGGTGTTCTTTCCATTATGCTGGACTGCCTCCACAGATACTATTAAAAGTGGTAAAGACAGCATTTTGTTAATAAAAATATTTGTTGTTATATTTTCCACAGGTTAAGATGATGGAAAATAGGTCTAAGTACCTTCCTTCTTTCAAAATAATTGTGCATGTGAGATTTTTTTTTTGTGTGTATGGTAAGGTATCCTGGAGTAAATTCCAAGTTTTGGAATTTTTATGGAAACTATAAATAACATGAGCCTTATGTCATCCATTGTGCAGTTATAGTTTCCTGTCCAAGAAAAAAAAAAGAAAGGAATTTCAACTTTTTGTTTCACATATGGAATAAATATAGATTCCATTTAGCAAGTATGAAGATTTATTTTCCTAGGTAACTGTATAGTCTATTAGAGTATTCTTGTGGTTGTCTTTTCATACCTCTGACATTGTGGAAAGAATATTTAAGTCAATAAGATTCTAAAAGCAGCATAAAAGTTATCTGCCAATGGCTATTACACAGCAGCCTTACAATGATGGTATAGCTCAGTTATTTGCATTCCTGAAATGATGCTATGTTGTTAAGTATTAATACCTAGGGAACATAATCATAGTAAAAACAGAATGACTTGCTAATTCTTCCTTGTCTAGCACCTAGCACAATGAATACACAGGAGGCACTTAATATGTGTTTTTTGATTGATTGTCCAAGCCAATACCATAAGGACATGACAAACAAAAGTAAAGCCATAGATTGTTTTTAAAAATATTACTTTCCTTAATTTCAACTTGGCTAACTTAGCTTCACTGAACAAAGTGAATTTCAGCTCCTTCTTCTCCTATTCCTCAGTCTTTGGTGACAGATATATGCCAAATGGATTATAGCCATCTTAAGAGTGAAGAATTTTCTTTGTTCCTTATGTTCCCTTATAGAATCATATGAACAGCAGATACTCATTTAGTAACTACTGACCAATGGAAGGAAATTCAGAATCAGAACTTCATTCATTAAGCCTTCATTTGGACCTACTTCAAATTTCTGCACTTTAATACATCAAAAATCTGTGATGTCTGTAGTGTGAGTGGTGGTAGTTCTTGTCCTTCAAAATGACATCACCATGTTGGGGTCAAGGTATAGTGTGTCTGACTATGGCTGATCATACCAATATGAGCTCAGAGTGTTCTACCACAGGTCAGGCACAAATACTCCATGTAAACATTTGGAGGAGAGAAGTCTCTAAGTTTGTGCATCTCACATTTCTTTTGGGTTACTGCAATTCTGCTTTGCTTATACAGCACAGCACCTTCTCTGATGTGGGCACACCGTGCTGGGTGGTGTTTTGCCAGTGTCTCCATGACACACAATTGATTACAAAGTTCTTCAGAGAAACCTTAATAGTGTTCTTGTATTTCTCCTTCTGTCTTCCGTATGAGCACTTACCTTGTGTGAGTTCCATAAAATAGTCTTTTAGGCAAATGTAGATTTGGCATCCTAACAATGTGGCCGGTCCATCAGACTTGTGCTCTCTGCAATAGAGTTTGAATGCTTGGCAGTTTAGCTCAAGAACTGGACATGTGTCCAGTGCCTTATCTTGCCAGGTGATCTTCAGAATCTTCCTAAGACAATTCAAATGGAAGTGATTCAGTTTCCTGGCATGGCACTAGTAGACTGTCCTGGTTTCACAGTTATACAACAATGAAGTCAGCACAATGGTTCTGTAGACCTTCAGTTTGGTAGTCAATCTTAATACCTCTTCTCTCCTACACTTTCCCACAGAGCCTCCCAAACACTGAACTAGCTCTGGCAATGTATGCATCAACCTCATTATCTATGTGTACATCCCTGGAGAGTTATATTGGCAAGGTAAGTGAACTTATCCACAGTATTCAAAATTTCTCTATTTGCTATAACCAAGGGTTCCACATATGGGTAGTGTGGTGAGTATAAACAAATAAAGATCACAAACACTTAGGCTTTGAGAATTGCCTTTGCAAAACAAACAAATAAACAAAGAAATTCTGAATAGATTGGATAACTAGCCTCTCCAAATGTGTCTAGGCTGGTACATAGTTCATAGTTACCTAATATACTCCATCAATGAGTCTATCCTCAAAGTCTTTGCAGTTAAGGACAGCGAGGTAGGACATTGGACAAAGAGCGGGGCCTGAACTCACTTACTAACTTTATGACCCTGGACAAATCACTTAACCCTGTTTGCCCCATGAACAGAAACAACCTTTGGTTTGGTGGAGTGGGATGCAGTGGATGACCTTGGCATCTTTAATGTCTGACCAAGCTCTAAGAGCTTCACAATACCTGCTTGAGCTGCCTTCATGGCCATCGGAACAAATTATTCTCATCTGCCCATTTCACTGGGGGAGATCTTCACATCTTGGGTAGACATCCCCCTAACTCACCAATGGGTTTGAGACCTGTTGGTTACCCTCAACTTAGTTTAGCCCATCTGCCAATATGGTTTACTGGGATGTGGCCACTGTTCATGCTACAGATTCTTGGAGCCACAGGTGAGAGTTGAGTGCCATGTAGACACCAAAGGTAGAGGAGCAGTCCTAAAAAGGGCTCAGCAATCCCTCATGCCAGAAGTGTTAGTCCTCCTTGAACACCTCATGTACCCCTGATGTCAAATAGAACTGACTTGGAAAACAGATCAAGGAGAAAATATTTAAGAATCATTGAGCTCCCTGAAAAACATGACTAAAAAAATCCTGGACACTATTTCAAGAAACTCATAAGTGAAGACTGTCTAAATCTGTTAGAACCAGAGGGCAAAATAAAATGAAAATAATCCATTAATCACTTCCTGAGTCAAACCTTCTTATTGCTGTCATAGGGCCTGAGAAAAACTAAGGGATCGCTCAGAGTTTATCACATCTTCTTAAACAGCAAGCAATGGGATACCATGTGGTTAAAAGCAGCCCAGAAGTTTCTTATTCCCAAATGGCCAAGGAGCGAATCAACATGTCAGAGTCCCTCAAAGATTCAAAAGAAGCTCTGGGCTCATTCTCTTTAGGATAGCTCCTATATAGCCTCATTTAATCTTGTTAAATATGGATGATGAGCCAATAAAAGAGACTGAGCAATGATTAGACAAAAGAACTCGGAAAGAGTGGTGTCAGAAAAAGCTAGAGAGAAGAGAGTATCCAAGAGAAAGGAGTAGTCAACAGTGTTAAATGTCGGTTGACAAAGCATATAGACTTAGAAAAGACCATCACATTTTTCAATTATTCAATTTTTGGCAGTTAGAGAGAACTGTTCTATCAAGTGATGATGGGGTCAGAAGTCAGATTTCAAATGGTTGAGGAGTGAACAAGAGGAGAGGAAGTCGAAGCATTTGTTGTCCATCCTTTGTTTCAAAGAAGACCTTTGGCATCATGGATGATGTCTTGATTTGCATGAATTGGCTTTAAGTGAGGCAGACTTGCACATAGTTATCAGCCTTATTCTCTCTTCCAGAGTCATCAAAGTCCAATGGCAAGACAAAAGTAAGGATGACTGGCTGTGCCCTGAGATACAGTGGATGACTTAGGCATCTTTGAGTTCTGATCAAGCTCTAAGTGTTCCACAGGGCCTTCTTCCACCACCTTCATGGCACTCATTCCACCAGGGAAAGTCTTTACTGTTTAACTCACCAAGAGCTTTGAGGCTTGTTGATTATACTCAGCTTGGTTTAGCCCATTTGCCAAGATGGTTTTTTACCAGGGTGTGGCCTCTGAACATGATATAGCTTCTTGGAGTTACAGGTTGGGTGAAAGGTGGACACAGAAGGTGGATGAGCAGTCCTGAAAAGGGCTGTGCAAGCCCTCACACCGGAGCTGCTGGTCCTCCCTGAATGCCCCAGTACAGGCAATTAGATTAAAGTACAGATAGCATTTTTCCCCTTAGGAGTTTGGCTAAGAAAGATAAGAAATGAAAGATCATGGATTGAGGGAATGGTAGATTCTAATGAATTTTTTTTTTTTAAGAAACAGGGAGACTTGGACATGTTTGAAAATGGTAGAGAAAGAACTAGTACTTGGAGAGATACTGGATTTTAAAGAGTAAAAGGGATAATTGAAGAACTGTATCTGGAGATCAGGGGCACATATAGAAGGGTTGGCCTTGACAAGGAGAAGGGCCATTTCAGTATTAAAGACTGGAGGAAAGGAAAAGAGAATTGGAGTGTGTGTCAAGGGATTTCAACATGAAATGAAGTGAAGAAGAGGGAGCTCATGGAAAATGTCCAGATTTTCTTAATGAAATAAGAGGTAAAGTCGTGGACTAAGAGAGTAGAGAGCAAGGAAGGTGTGGGAGGCTAAAGGAGAGAAGACACAATTTGGAGTAGCTTTTCTGAGGAGTGGAATAGGGAATCATTTAAGGAGGAATAAAGGGTCAGTTTGCTGCAAGATTATCCAACAGCCATTACCAAATACAGCTTAAAAATATTTAACATTATATATGTTTTCTTTTTAGTATTTCAGTAATAACATTTTTGAGAAAGTAGTATGAACAAAACATCATATTTCTAATAAAATTGTTTCAGAGAAATAAAGCCAGTGGTTATTTTAACATAATTTCTTCTAAAAAGTCTTGCATCCTGTCTGAAGATAAATTGCTAATTAACTGAAAATTAGAGCTTCAGATCAACTGAATTTTTTAAATGAAATAAAAGAAATCTTTAGAATCTATCAGATAGGTGGCAGCCTTCATAACTATTGAGAAGTCTCCTCCTAGATCCTGTGGTAAGCCGCAGTGGTAAACAAAGTTGTGGTTTAGATTAGTAATCACATAAGAAATGAGGAGTCTTCAGTGTATATAACCTATACCTTAGAGTTGTCTGATATAGGTATCCCTTGTTATATACTAACATAATTAAATACATCATTTCTACTATGTATATTAACTTCTTTATAATGGAATTTTTAATCTCTAAATTCTAATTTGAGTGCGAAAAGGGAATATCTAAACCAAAAAAAAATTCACTATTTCTAATACTTTGTCCCACCTCTGACATATGCTGGCTGTGTGACTCAAGGTAAGTAACTTATACATTCAGTGCTTTCTAGGCAAAATACCTCAGACTATACATTGCAGAGAAGATGTTGACTTTTATTGGTTGATGGAACCTCCCCACCTTAGGGTTCTCTCTACCAATGAAATTACTGCTCCAGTCACTGTCCCAATACTCTGTTACCTAAATGACTATACTAACGGGCTCTCCTGCAGCCTCACAGTTCTGGGATAGTTATGGTACATTTACTTCCTTTCAGTCCCTAGCTTTTCAATGGGGTGGCAAGAGTGGAAATTTTTCTAGCAGTAGTAATAGTAATACAGCTTTCATGTCATCCTGCCTTGGATGTAGCTGATCTCCATCCAACATCTGCCTCATTTTCTGTCACCTGGTACTCAAGGATAGAGGAGCCAGTTGCCTGCCTTCAAGGAGCTTACATTGTAGGGGGAGGTAACCACATGTGTGTAAGGTAGCCAGTGAAAGCAGTTTTGGTTTACATTTGTTATGTGTTATTGTGCTTTGTTGTTGTTTAGTTAATTAGTCATGTTTGACTCTTTGTGACCCCATTTGGGGGTTTCTTGGTAAAGATACTGGAAGGGTTTGCCATTTCCTTCTCCAGCTCATTTTACAGATGAGGAAACTGAGGCAAACAGGATTAAGGGACTTGCTCAGAGTCACACAGCTAGGAAGTGTCTGAAGTCACATTTGAACTCAGGCCCTCTTGACTCTAGGGTCAGCATTCTATCACTGTGCCATCTAGCTGCCCATATTGTAGTTTACATTTGTCTATTTTATTTATTTAGTTACATTCTAGATCATCACAGGTATTGTAAGTGGAGCCAAAGGACAAAACATAACTTTTTTTGAGTATATCAGTGGTTCCTTTGCATGAGTCTATGTAGAGCAAGGGTTCTTAATGATTTGTGTCACGGATCCTTTTGGCAGTCTGGTGAAACCTATGGATTTCTTCTCAGAATAATATTAAATGAGTAAAATAGATAAGATTATAAAAATAGTCAATATATTGAGCTAGGGTTGTCAAAAAAATTTTAAAAACAAGTACGTAGACTTCAGATGAAGAACCCCTGGTTCAGTGTTAAATGACAGCAGCATGAGTGATGGACCCAGGAGGAGGCAAAAAGGATATAACTATACCAGACATTGGATGCCAAGGAAATGGGCCCCTTGCAATTCTTTCTCTAGTTGCCAGCACTCAATTCATCCACCTTCTATGGAGGCTCTTCTTATTAATAATTCATTATTGACTTTTTCTCTCTTACTCATTCATTTAGCAAACATTTATTGTTGCTGTTGAGTCATTTTTTAGTTGTGTCTGGCTCTTTGTGACCCCATTTGGGGTTTTCTTGGCAAAGATACTGGAGTGATTTGCCATTTCCTTCTCCTACTCATTTTTGCAGATGGGGAAACTGAGGTAAACAAGGTTAAATGACTTTCCCAAGGTCACATAGCTAGTAAGTGTCTGAGGCCAGATTGAAACTCAGGAAGATGAGTCTTCCTGACTCCAGCCCTGGTACTCTATCCATTGTGCTACCTGACTGCCCAATGTTTATTAACATGTCAATGAGCACACCACTATTCTAAACACCGGAGAAAGATTCAGCAGCCCACCTCTATGTGAATATAATATTTTCATTGACATCCGAAAATCAATATCCCTGCCATGGTCTCCCTTTCCTCCCTTAAAGCCTTTCAAATCTTGACCTTATAGTTAATCAGTTTAATGTTA